CAGCCCCTTCCCGGGAATACAGGAGCTAGGAACCTGTATCCCCCCCCCGTGGAACCCCGGAGGAATTCCCTGTGTCAGGAATGGGGGGATCCCGGGGAGCTCAGGGTCTCTGGCTCCCGGTAACCGGGGCTACGGCCCCGTTCAGGCAGGGGGGAGGGGACAAGGAGCTCCAAAACATTCAATTTTATTAAATCAGGGCACCAACGTGGCGCCTTCCCCTCGCCACAGAACCGGGCTGGGGTGAAAACAATCCAAGGGGAAGCCGGTAACCGGGACCGGGAGCAACCGGGAGCTCTCGGAGACCCTCCCGGTAACGGTAGCACCGACATCGCCATCCCTCGGCGGAGCAGAGCCCCGGTTATCCCGGGGAGGGGACACAGCCCCGTGGCCAGCACGGCCGTTAAGAGAGGAAAAGGGCCGGTAACCACTGGACACAAACCGGGATGGAAACGGGCACCGGATCCCGGCTGGGGCTCACGAGGGGCTGCTCGCCGTCCTCCCGCCGTCCCCGCCAGCACCGGCACCTGCACAGAACGGGGGGGTCAGGGGGAGCCCCGGTGCTCCGGGAGAGCCGGTTCAGGGAACGCCATCCTGCAGCTCCCGAGGGAACCGGCTGCGGGGGCCATACCGGCTGCCACCCCCCAACGGCATCACGTTACCGGTGTAACCGGGCCCAGTCCCGGCCCAGGGGCCTTACCCGGGAGGCTGGTGCAGACCGGGGGGGTCTCACCGGGACTTTTCCGGGGCTCCAGGGAGGCACCGGTGCCGTTCTCCTGCCCCAGGAAGAGCCGTGTTAACCGTCCTCCCCCGGCAGCAGCAGGGCTGGCTCCCCCCGGTGAAACGGGGTGGTGGTTTGGGGGGAGCCACTGGGTGCGGGGGCCGTTTCTGCTCACCGGGGGGGGGTCCTGGGCCGGCTGGGGGGGGCCATCACCCCCTGCCCCTTCTTCCTCCTGGGGAGCGGGGACGGCGAAGCCCAACCGCACCAGCTCCGCACCGACGTCCAGGTTCTGCACCGAAAGGAGACGGGGAGGGAGCCGGGGGCAACGGGGAGGGGGTTGG